CAACCCCAAATTAGAGCACTAAAAGGACAAGAAATTAATAGGTGATTCACCGTCTCACCACTCCTCAAGCAAAGGCCGCAGACATGAGGTGACAAGCACCAATTTGGTCTCTTTCTTTGAAGCACTTCCAAGGTATTGATTTTTTGGAGAACCACTTCCCAACAAAAAGCCCTTACTTTTGGGGGGACCGGAGCGCTCCAAACTTCTTTAACAGGAAAAGAGGAAACCGGGTGAGAAGGAAGGACCATAGCATTGAAAAACGAAGAACAAGAAAAACTACCTGTAGAAGTTTTTGTCCAAATTCTACTGTCCAAAGAAGAGTGGTCTAGAAAAACCGAACTTAGAAGAGAAAAATATCATTTGCTAAATCTACTTCTGAGTCCCTCAAACCTCCCCTTAGTCCCAAATCCTAAGAATCCCCAGAAGCACGGAAAGAAGAGAAAAATTGAGATTTTTTCAAAGAAAGGGAATATAGGTTTGGGAATCTATCCTCAAGGGGAGATTCCCCAATCCACAAGTCCTCCCAAAAAAGAATCTTATTACACATGCAAGCATCATACCTGATGAAAGGAGAGAAGATAGGTAAGATACCAACAATATCTTTCCACGGGGAAAACCATGAAGTCCTTGGGTCGAGTCCAGCGTCCCATCCATTTGCTGCCATTTCATGAGTACTTCTTATCACCCTATGCCATAGACTCTCTTGCTCCTTAGAAAACCTCCATAACCATTTGCCTAACAAAGTTGCATTTCTTATTCTAATATTTCCGATCCCTAAACCCCCTTTGTCTTTCTTTCTAGACACCACTTCCCATTTTACCCTATGACCCTTTTTGGTTTCTCCAGGTTCCCACAGAAAATCTCTCGTTATTTTTTTCAATCTGGTTTGCAATCTTAACAGACGATTTGAAGGTAGACAAAAAATACACTGGCAAATTTGCTAGTGTTGACTTAATTAGAGTGATTCTACCCCCTAAAGAGATGTAGTTCCTTTTCCAACCCGCTAGTCTTTTTGAGAATCTTTCCAAGACTGGGTACCAAAAGCTAACAGACCTCGGGTTTCCTCCCAAAGGTAAGACTAAATACTTAAGAGGCCAATCACTTACCTCACAACCTAGAGATCTAGCCAACGATGGCACCTGAACTTCTTGCCTATTAATTCCAGCTACACAACTTTTATTCCAATTTACTCTCAAGTTGGAGACCTTTTCAAAATTCTCTACCAAGACCTTTAAATTTTCCAACTCCTTCAGATCTCCTTCACAAAAGAGAATCAAGTCATCAGTAAATTGAAGGTGGGTTACAACTATTTCCTCCCTCCCTACTCTCCACCCTCTAAGCATATTTCTAGCATCAACTCTAGTAATCTGGATACTCAACACATCAACTATTAGGGTGAAAAGGAAAGGAGAAAGAGGGCCCCCTTGTCTTAAACCTCTCTTTACTGGGAAGAAATCCTTGGCTACCCCATTTACTAGAATGGAGTAGTGACAAGAAGAGATACAACCCTTAACCCACATGCACCACCTTCCTCCAAATCCTCTTATGCTCAATACTTCCAGTAAAAAGTCCCAGTCTACCAAATCATAGGCCTTTTCCAAATCCAGTTTGCAAATCAGACCCTTTTCTCCTTGTCTTTTTCCGTAATCCACACATTCATTGGCAATAAGGATCTAATCAATAATGTCTTCCTGACACAAACGCCCCTTGGTTCGGAGAAATCAAGGATGGTAGTACCTTTTTGATTCTTTCTGCCAAGACCTTTGAGATTACCTTATACATACTCCCAATTAGGCTTATGGGCCTAAAATCCTTTGGGTGGTTTGCATTTATCTTTTTAGGCATCAAAGCTATAAAAGTAGCATTGGCACCTGAATTTATCTTACCTCTCTCAAAGAATTCCAAGAAGACCTCCATTAGGTCACCACCTATAATATCCCAACAATCTTGGTAAAAGGCCACCGTGAAACCATCTGGGCCTGGGGCTTTAGATCTTTCCATTGAAAAAATAGCATATTTTACTTCTTGGACTTCAAAATTCTTTTCTAGTTGATCTATCAAAACCCTATTCCCAGGTAGCCAATCAAGGTCAGGAATTTCTTCTCTCTCTCTCTTCTTGGGCTGTCATAAATGGATTTGAAATGCTCCACAAAGGCTCTTGACATCTCCTCCTCACTTGTAATCACTTCCCCATTCCAATCCAGCCTCCCCACAAAATTCTTCCTCTTCCTTCCATTTGCTAAGGTATGAAAAAAATTGGCATTCCCATCTCCCTCCTTCAGCCACTTACACCTAGACTTTTGTCTCCAACTTATCTCCTCTTTCCTTATGATTTCCTGCAACTCCTGTTTCAGCTTCCAACACTCTTCCCTCTCTCCTACTGTTAATATTTGTAGTTTTTATACTAACAAAATGAAATTAATGAGAGAGGATCATTAATTAATCGAATTAATGAGAGGCGCTAAAATTCAAATTTGAATTTAAATTTGCTTTAAATATAGGATTAATTAATGAAGCTAGACATAAAGATAGGAGTATGAAACTACATTAATGAGAGAGATTTGGTATTAAATATACATTAACCAAATTAATGGAAGAAGGGGAACCAAAACGATTCGGATTGTATCGACCTATTTCGGGCTCGTATTGACCGATACATATCCGAAACAGACCGATACGGGCCCGTATCGGCTGATGCATACGAAAAGAAATGGAACAGATAATTTATATGCGTTCCGTGTATCGGGTTCTTATTGGAATGGTACGTATCGACCAATACGGGCTGATACATTACGATATTTTAAACCTTGGTTTGAAGTTGTTTTTGGCCTCAAGACTAATCTTCATAAGAGCTGGTCCCTTTTAGAACAGAAGTTCTAGCACTCCTATAGGGGCTCAAGCTGGCTAAACAGCTGGTTTTTCAGTAGTTGGAAGTGGAAAGAGATTGAAACTGGTAAGAAAATGGATGCAAACAAGCAGCTTAGGTGCCTGGTCCCTTAGACAACCTGTAAGGGAGATTATGCAACTAACAAGGGAGCTTGAAGTCAGATTTAAATGGACTAGGAGACCAGCCAATGCAATGGCCGATACTTTAGCAAAGCAAGGAGTTAGTAGATTGATAAAAAAAAAAAGGAGTTAGTAGGTAGAACCTTTTTTGGGCCTGTTTGTAATTTGATGAGGGGTCACCTTGCTTTTGAAGGTGACAGTTTGTACTAAGTTTCCTAACAAATTGATGAAAGTTACTGTTTCCAATCCAAAAAAAAAAAAAAAAAAAAGATTAATCTTCATAAGAGTGAACTTATGCCATTTGGGGAAGGAAGCAAATGTGGAGGCAGTTGGCGGTGAGTGTGGGTTGCAAACTGGGAAAGCTGCCCACTAGGTATTTGTGGATGCCTTTAGGAGAGAAATGTCACACTAAGAAAATTTTGGCCTATAGTGGAAAAGGTGGAGATTGGCTTCTTGGAAAGGAAGATACCTGTCAAAGGGAGGAAAGGTGGTGTTGATTAAAAGTGTCCTCTCCTCTCTTCCCACTTACCTACATTCTTTGTTCCTTATTCCAGCTAGCATGGCTAAGGTAGTTGAAAAGAAAATGCGTGATTTTCTGTGGGAAGGATGGAAGCATAAGTTAACTGCACCTGGTCAAGTGGAACAAAGTGTGTAGCCCAAAGAAAGCAGGGGGATTGGGGGTGAGGAAGCTGAGAAAATTTAATCTAGTCTGTCTTGCCAAGTGGCTTTGGAGGTGGAATGAACAGCCTGATGAATTATGGAGAAGGATTATTCTAGCTAAGTACGGAGCAGGTTTTTCACAATGGGAGCCAGCAGTGACAAGAATGTCTCGTGGGTGTGCTATATGGAGAGTAATTCAAAAAGCGTTGGAGGAATTCAGAAAAGGAAATAGATACACAGTGGGATGATGGCACAAGAATCAAATTCTGGACTGATATTTGGTGTGGGGATCAGCCTATTTATCAGAGTTTCCCCAACCTTTATGAGATTGCTTAAAACAAAGACTGCATGGTTGCAGAGGCTTTTGCTCGGGTAGGAGATATTGCAGTTTGGTGTCCAGTGTTTAGAAGGAATTTAAACAATTGGGAGGTCGGGCAGTGGATAGAGCTGATGCAGCATCTATCTGGTATAACTCCTGGCTCTACAGGTAGAGATATGAGAATTTGGAAGTGGGGTAAAGAAGTTTTTTTCACAATGAGATCTTTCTATAATAAACTCACGGAGGTGGAGGTGGTGGGTTTCCCAGAAGCTGCAGTATGGAAATCAGCAGCCCCTCCAAAAGCTGCTTTTTTATTATGGGTGGCAGTGTCGGGCAAATATTTGACTGCAGAGGTTTTGGCCAGAAGAGGGATGAGTGTGCTGCCTAGCAAGTGCATAATGTGTGGGGAAGCATCTGAAGACTCAGATCATTTACTGATCCATTGCAGAGTTGCTCGCCTCCTTTGGACAAAGTTTTTGGGGCTGTTTGAAGCTCAGTTTTGTTTCCCAGACAATGTGCTAGCAGTGCTTCAGAGTTGGCATTTGAAGGGTCACTCTAAAGAAGGCAAGGTCATTTGGGAGTAGGGTCAGCTTTAGTGATATGGACAACATGGACAGAAGGAAACAAAAGAATGTTTGAAAATGTGTATGTTTCAGAGGAAAATTTATGTAAAGGTTTTTGGGGTAGGATGTATTGGATCTCATAAACCTTTTAGGAATAGATCTTATATCTCTTTTTGTATTGATAGAGCACTTTTTGTATCTATGCATACAGGGTAAGCATTTTGGTTGATGTACAGCTTTTGATTGGGCACTGCACAGCTCCTTGTTGTGCAGATTTGGTTTATGCTTTTTGTCTAATATATTACTTAAACTTTTTTCTCAAAAAAAAAAAAAAAATCTTTGGTAAGGAAATTTTTTTCTTTCAACAATTTCTAAGGGTAAAGATAAAGCATAAAGAACAGCTTTTACATAATACAACCTTCAAGAAGATGTAATCAATAATTTATATGTACCTGCACTGGTAGTGCCACTCCAAGTAAAGTCTTGATATCAAGTATGATACTTGGGTTTCCATCCCACTGCAACTCCAATTCCATGGTAATGCCATCACTTCCATCTTCAATAATTGAAACTCCTGAAGAATAGCAACAGGTTATATAAGCTTCAGGACCAACTTCTTCAGAAATCACTAAGCTCTTTCACAGAATAGAATAAGAAAGAAAACTTAAGCTTCATATTTTATGCTACAATTTTATACAACCAATTATATATACAAGATGTCACATGCATATAGTGCATGTAAAGACAGATTAGGCAGAAAAGGTGGGTTAATGGATGACCAGGTATCTCATTCTCACAATGCTCAGTGCCCCGACAATGCACATAATCCCATAATCCCAATGAATTTCTTATGTAAAGTTGAATAAGAATGATTTGAGCAGACTAACTACTCCCTCCCTCTGCCCAAATCAGCATCCTACAAAGGATCATGCTCACTAAAATAAATCTAAACAAGGGAAGACCCCATGACATTAGCAAAATTCTTTAACTAAATTAACAGTAAATTTTGTTGAGAATAGAAAGTATAATATACATAGTAGTCCTACCCTCCAAACTACTTCGAGAGGCAGGAAATACAATATGGTAGAAAATACCATATGAAGTGGATATCCCACTTCTGCAAGAGGCTTCAAATGAATGTAGAAAAACCATAAAACAAACCTTTTATCTTTTCTGTGGTTCTGTCCACAGCTAATACCATATATAACTCACGTTCTTTCTCACTTTTATCAATAAAAAATCCTTGTGAACAATTCAATTTAGTGATATTGTCCCAAGTATAGCTGAATTTCAAAAATTTTACTATAAATCCAAATTAAATTCAGTATAGCAAAGCATAATCCCCCACCAAGCAATTTGTCACACTACAACTATGGTTGTAGCTAAATTTAATCTAAAGGTTCAACTCTCGAGAAACACATAGCAACTTGCTTATGCAATTTCTAGTAGCCAGGTTATTGCCACATCCTAAATGTTGACACCTTATAACAAAGTTTTGAAGGGTTCACTATCTTAAATCTCATAATCCAAAACTTGCAGTCTTACCTTAGTATCTAATAGCCAAATATCCCATCTGTCATTTGATAGCATTCAAAGGCCTTTGCCATCTTTGATCACAGAAGCATTATTTGACATTTAAATTTCTCAAAAGAATTAAAGAATATATCAGTTTCTCAGTGCCTATTTTTCTTACTCACACTCAGCAGTTAGGACAGCTCAAGCCTGTGATATCTTATCCAAAGCTCCAGTTCACAATTTTATGGCTAAATATGAAAGTCTGGCAAGCTGTTGCATCAGTATATGTGGAAATTTCCAGGCTTGACATTTTGTAACTTGTAAGTACTAGACACTCCAAAGAGCAGCAAGCTAAAGTTTGCTGCAGCAGTAAGGAAGCCATAAATGCAGCCAATATCAAGTTACACTCGATAATGGGACTTCAACATAAAACTATCTTGATGTAACTTACTAGGGATTCATATGCATTGATTTTTTCGTGGGCATGGAACTACACCAAGTTTAGAAAATACATAAAGGATAATTAAAAAGGAAAATCCATAATATCACCACTCCTGAAGCTAAAGCTTTTCCTCTCAAGCAATGGAATATGAGAATATCACATTGTTTCTTCTTGCAATTTGCAAAATTGCAATGACTAATAAGCATAACATTTTTCTGTTTTCAATAAAATTTCTTTTATTAGTATGAAAAAAAAATATTAGTTACATCACTGACACCAAACCTAGTAGATATCCTAGATAGATATAACCAAAGCAATCTTTTGAAGGTTAAGCACCCTAGGAATGTATAACGAGATGAAGAAGTAGACATGAGAATATAAGACAACATATATATAAGACAATATACTCAAACTTTACCACCTGAATGGTGCAGCAAATGATACTCTAAGAGTCTAGATAGAAGCTATAACGCAGCAAATCAGACTAACCTGTAAACTGTGGAGCCACAGTACCTAGAGTCAACTTTGAAAATTTAAGAGAAGCTAAGATGGCCGGTCTATATTGCTCGAGAACTGGCTCAACAGAATTTCTTATCAGCTCAGATGCCGCCTGCATCACCACATAAAAACAATGAATCACGTCATGTCATCAAAAGAATTTTTAATTCCATACCAACAAATACAACAGAAACTCTAGTACAGGCAAGAAAACCACCTCGTTGACATATGGCCATATCTTCGTAAGCTGAAGGTTAAGCCAAGTTAACTGTAAAGGGGAAAAAAAGAGAACATCGGTCCACAAAGAAGTAGCAAAAAATAGATGAAGCAAAACAAAATTACAACTAAAACTCAACTTCTGTCGCTGTGAGAAAACAACCCACGAAGGGTAATGTTCCGCTGGAAGAATCTTCCTCGAATCTGCCACTGTCATCTTCGAGAAAGCCGCCACCGTTGTCGCCTACAACAGGCAGGAAAAAAAAAACAAACAAATATCAACCCAAAGAAAAAAAAAAAAAAGCAAAATAAAAATTCAAAATGCTGCACGGAGGATCCAAATTACATACCAATTCAGAGCGGCGTTTTGAACGGATATTCTCGGAATGGACAAAAGCCACGATCAGGCCAACACCGAGAGCAATTCCGAAAAACAACCCCACAAAGAACGACATTGTTCCGCAAATGCTCAAGAAATCAGAACCACCCAGCAAAATCAAAAATCTTAATTAACTTGTAGAGCTTCTACCTTAGCTTCAACCAACCATATCCGATGCTAGGAAACTCGAACCGGAGCAATTGAGATAGGTCATTACCAATACCAAGAGAAGCTTCATTCATCCATTTCCTCGAACAGAGATCGCGCACCAGCTATAGAAAATTGGCGGATTAACATTTCCGCTTCTAATGAAGTAGCAACAGCGATCCAAAGCCGTGTACGGATACTAATAAATATGATGAGAGAGAAAACTCCGAAGGTGGTAGACCGTAGAGGTGGAGCTGGAGAAAATGCCTTTTTTTCTGGTTCTGTTTGGATTATTCTGCTTCAGCTTTTTGGTTTCCTTTTTCTTCCTCGTTTTTTCTTTCCTTCAAAGGAAGAAGAATAGGTTGGATGCTTTCGGCAGTTTGGTTGTTTGTGATCGTTGCAATCGAGGATTGGAGCGTCGATACAGCGTGATCTCCGCTTGCCTTTCACCGTCACGTGATAGGGCTTTGCCGACAACACCATTGACATGCCAAATTGTCCGTGTCTGCACGTGGCTTTTTCCTCGTGTAGGAAAGGTCGTGGATAAAATTCTATCCCCTGGTCCGCTGGTGGACTGGTCCTCCTAGTCTCTAGACCAGTGTAGCCATTCTCAAACCGGACCGGATACCGTTAAACCACGAACCGGTTGCCATTCCGGTTTTTTGGATCGTCTGTTTTTAAATTTCTAAATAAATTGGTAAAAATAACTGTCCTGATTTTCAACAACTCACTGGGGTCATTACTTTATCATAATTTTAAAAATTAAGATTTAAATCTAGGAAAAATCTATGATGTGGAAAAGATATGGTATGGGAAGAGCTTTGACTAATCAAAATTCATCCATAAATTTTGATAAATATCATCTGATTGGCTACTACATTTATGATAATGGTTGAATGGTCATAAGTTTTTTCAATATCATATCTTTTCTATATCATAGTAGAACCCAACCTCTTTCCTAATGCTTAATTTGGAAGAAGGCTCAATTTGGAATGAATACAAATACAAATGTAGAGTGCAAAACCTTGTATTGTTTTGTATGTATTTACACTATACATATTCGTATTTATACTCCTTCCAAACTGAGCCTAAAGAAAAATATATCAACATTAAGATGGTATACGTATAACACTTGCATTTTTTATTTTTATTTTTTTTGTTCAAGGGTTTATTATTGCACATCCCTTTTAAGATAGCCTCACATAATATAAATAGGCCATTAATTAAGAAAATGTGGAGGGCCACTTTACATGCTCTTTAATTTTTTTTATAATTCCATTTTTACCCCTCATCTTCTCTCATTTCTCTCCTCTCTTCATCGTATCTCCCAATTTGATCGAATAAACCAATGCTTCTTCTCTCTCTCTTTTTTCCTATGAGAGAAATGGGAACAAATCAATTTTGATTAAGTCAATGCTCTAGTTCGATGGTGCTTGTAGCAGCGTAGAAGAGATAAAGGGAGAAAGAAGAAGAGAGGAACAAGGAAAAGGAAAACAGGAGAGAAAGAGAAATAGAAAGAAGGCTGCTTTCATACAGTGCTGCTTGCCAGGGATGGATCCGGGGGTGGCAGATGGGAGCCATGCCCCCCCCCCNCCCCCCCCCAAAGCTTTGAAAATCCTCATAGTAATTATTTAAATCTCACATATATTATGCTCATTTTATCTATGTTTCTTATCTTTTGGCCCCCTTATCCATGTTTATTATGCTTTGTTCCCCTCAATAAAAAATCATAGCTTTGTCTTGCTGCTTGTGACATTAAAGAAGAAGAGAACCAATAGGACATAACATTTTCAAGCATAGAATGTTTTGGAAATAAACAATTAAGGCTTAGTTTGGATGGAGTACAAATACAAATATGTACAGTACAAATACATACAAAATAATACAAAATATGTATTTGCACTCTACAAATTTGTATTTGTACTATTTCCAAATACAAATGCAAATATGTACAGTGCAAATACACAAAAGGCTCAGTTTGGAAGGAGTACAAATACAAATATGTAGAGTGCAAAATCTTGTATTTTGTACTATTTTGTATATATTTGTATTTGTATTCTTTCCAAACTGAGCCTAAGGGAAATTTTGTCCTTTATGCTTTATCTTTTAAACTTAACATTTGAAAGGTTAACAAGGTAGATATAAGTAGCTTTTGAAACCAGGTAGTTTCCTCAGATTTCAAGGCATATATAAGCAATTAACCCTTTTTTTAATATCCATGCTCATCAAATATGTATATGCATTTTTTACCCAAAAAAAAACATAATTTACAAGACTTTGACCATTTTGTAAAAATTAAAAAAAAGAAAGGCAATTTAACCACAACTTACATGTGTGTTAAATATAAAAATATAATATTCATATGGATAAATCTATAATGCTAGAAAGACGTTCAAATTTGCTATCCATATGGCATTGTAACCACACATCCATGGTTTTAAAAAGCTAATTCCTTGAGATGAGGCCACCATATCTTACTTCAAGACTTAAGCCTCATAACTTTGGTATGGAGCTTAAGCCTTTATTAGAAAGAGGTGTAAGCCTCAAGCCACATGGTGTGAGGAAAACTGAGTTATTTAATAAAAAAGATTGTTTTATTTTTTATTTTTAAGTTTAAAACGTATGGGAAGGGCACTTTGGTAATTGTGGGGCAAATGAAAATCTAATAGAGCAAATAAAATTACTAGTTTCTCTTACGGTTTTAAAAGAGTTCAATGCAATCAGAGCCGAAAAGAAATATTCATTATTCTCTCTTCATTCTTGATCAAATTAGGTAGGATTTTTTTTTTCCTTGTTATTCTGCACTTTTGGGTCACTAGAAATATCGCATCCTAAGTTTGTCATTTTTTCTATTTTATTTACAAGAAAATATTGTCTATCCAATTTTTGCCTCTTAATTCTCTTCCTAATGGATTCTTTTCTTTTTCTTTTTTATTTTTTTCATGGATTGAACCAACCAAGTTGTTTAATTTCTTCTAAAATGTTGGAGAACCAGAAATATAGTATAAATTATATAGATGATTCATTAAAAAACATCATTAGTGATGAAAACTTTAGTGTTGGGGAATTTTCATAATCTTAAACATATGATTGGTCATTTGAACAATTTGAGAAATTTGGTTTTCGAAACTACAATTAATATAAAAGGTTTGTGGTTGTTAATTGATTAGTTTTTTTAAGGCTAAAAGCCTAAAATATGTTACTTCTATACTTCTATTTTCTGAATGCTTGTAAGTACAATAATTCTTAGTCTAAAACATGCTCTTTTTATTATTTATGAACTTTAATTAATCTATTTTTTTAAATTTTTAAACTTAAGTCTTGCCATATATGCATTACAGTTATGCTTACAACTATGCCTTTAGTCTTTTAAAACCTTGTACACATTGGGAACATCTCTCGTACTTGTATGTCATCATTTATAGAGAGATGTTTTCAATACATGGCTATAGTTTCTTGTCAATAGTGTAGGTAGTGTTTTTGTGGATAATAAATGATAATGATAGAAATAATGTATCCAAAATTTTCTATAAAATTCATGTATTTTTTTATTTTTTGTTTTTCACTATTAATTAGATGCAGACCGCAGAATTTGGATCTGATTACTTAAGCACCTCATATTGGGCTACAAAGTTTTGGATACCATTGGTTGAATTTTTCTTTTTGTAATGTTTTATCGTCTTAGTGTATGCTTTTTTGTTTATTTATCAAAAAAATGAAAGATTTAAAGAAGGGGAATTGAATGAGGTGAAAATTGTAGTTCAAATTACATTTTAAACCTCACAATTAAATATGGATTAAATTCAAAATTGGGTATTTTAGTCAAAAGAAAGTCCTATAGTTTTATTCATATTTTTAATAGTAGTGTAAATATGGAGTTATAGATGTGTTCAACTTTTTCTATAATTTTTTTTTATTTCCATGTGTGTAAAAATAATACTGTTATTTACACTTATTTTTTTTTTGTTTAATATGTAAATATATGATATTATACATGTGCCCAAATGTTTTTTTGTAAATTTATGTTTTTTATTTTTGTTTGTTTTTTATATTTTATTAATTTTTATTATTCAATTATGACATTCAAGGTTGACAGATTTGACCCAAAAGTTGAATTATTGATCTCTGCCAAATAGGAAAGTAACTTCATTTTTTGTTAATTTTAGATTATGTATTTCATTTTCATCATCAATAAAAATATCATAAATGTGTCTATTTTTTCTATATTTTTATAATTTTCTATATTTATTTCTATTTAAAAATTTTATTATCTAACTATGACTTCATGGGTTGGCCAATTTGATGTGGATAGTTGAATTGGTTAATCATCACTTGGATAAAAAAATTATTTTGTTTTTGAGTAAGTTTTAAAATATATGGGTTTATATTTTTAAAAGTATTGTATATAGATCTAATTGTAGCATTTATTAGTGAAAAATTAACTTAAATATGGGATTTAATAAGAAAGAATGGGGAGTTAATAAATTAAATACAAGAGTTAATGAAGGGAATTAAATGAGGTGAAAAGCATTAGTTGAAATTACATTTTCAACCTTCATAATTAGAGATGGACTAAATAACAAATGTGAGCATTTTAGTCAAAAAAAGTTTCACACCCTCATTCATACTTTTTATTATAGTATAGATCATGTCATGAGTTACTGGATCAACCTAATGGTCAGATCGTTTAATCAGTGACCCAATTATATTCTTGGTTTTGTAAACTGTTGAGTCCATCAACTTTTCTTTGGACCTTAAGGCTATGTTTAGTTTGAGAGAAAAGATAGGGAAAGGAAGAGAAAAGGAAAAGGATTTAAAAGAAAGGTAAGGTTGTACCAGGTCTAAAGATAGCCTACCTTTTCCCTTCCTTTACCTACCTTTTATTTCAACCAAACATAACCTAAATATTTTTAATTACACAAGGATTTAGATATTAGGGTTAATGTGGCCTTTACCCAACCCAACATGTAGAGTTCAGAGATCAGAACATGTGAGTCATTGATGAAGGTATCTATTCCTTAAGTATTTAGGGGTGTTGATTGAACTGGATTTGGTCCAATGTGAATTCATTAGAAATGGAGCTGGTCTAATCCAGTCCAATGAATATTTTGGACTATTTTGGATCAGTCCAATTCATTGGACCATCCAATCTGTTCAAATTCATTTTGAATTTATATTAATTCCAACTCAAACCTGGTCTTATGTTTTATCAAAGTATTTATTCCAATCCAATAAATACTTTGGACTATTAAGCTTGAGCGAACACTAAATGCATCTAAATGACAAATGAACCATTGGCTCGGTAAAATACTTGGACAGTTACACTACGCATTCATATGCTTTCACTGTTTACTTTTTCTTACAATCATAATTTTGAAGCCCAGATGACAATCATTATTGAGTAGAAAT